CACAGGAACGGAGTTCCAGCTGGCTCCCAAGTTGGCCACGCCCAGCAGGAACTCATTAGCATAATAGGCCACACCCAATAGCAGAAACTCATTAGGATTGGCTACATTAGGGCTGTGTGGCCTAACATGCAAAGGAGTTTTAAAAGCCCTGGGTTTTGACAACAAACAAGGTAAACAGAATAAGAAGGGAAAGGTGGGTGTGGCTGGATGACCACACTTCTGGTAACATGGTGGTGTGGCCTAATGGGCTAATGAGCGGTGCTGTCAGGGTGTGGCCTAATATGCTAATGAGTTCCTGCTGTTGGGTGTGGCCTATTGTGCTAATGAGTTCCTGCTGGGCTTTTTCTACAAAAAGAGCCCTGTCCAAATCAAATATAATCTGGTTAGAACCGGAGCAGTTTAACCTGCTCTCAGCTCGCTGTCTGACCACACCCAAAGAAATACTCTTCTCCCTTTCTCACAATACAAGAAGTCATGGGCATTCAACGACATTAATGAGCAGTAGGCTTAGGGCAGATCAAAGGAAGGACTTCTTCACCCAAAGCGTAATTAATACATGGAATTCACTGCTGCAGGAAGTGGTGGTGACCAGTGTTCCCTCTAAGCTGAGTTAGTGTGAGCTAGCTCACAGTTTTTTAGCCTCCAGCTCACACATTTTTCCTCTTCTCCCAGAAAGGATGGCACCAGAGCAAACTAACTTATGCAGCAGCCAAATCGCTCGCTCACAGCTTTAATGCCAGCAGCTTACAAAAGTAGAATTTTTGCTCACAAGACTCCACATCCTAGAGGGAGCATTGGTGGTGGCTACAAGCATAGCCAGCTTCAAGAGGGGCTATTAGCCACAAGCTGTAGGTGGAACATTCTGTCAGGGGCAGTGATGCTCGTGGTGTTCTTGGTGCTGGGGGGGGGGCACACTGGGAGGTCTGGCCCTGCTGGTTGACCTCTGATGGCACCTGGGTTTGGGCTAATGTGTACCACCAAGTGTTGGACTGGATGGGCCACGGCCTTCATCCAACATGGCTTCTCTTTTGTTCTTAACCAACAGACTGACTCAGTTTCATGTCTGTCCCCCTGCTTTGGTATCCAGGAGGCAATGGTAAATACAGTGTGCTCTCAAACGGAGGCTGTTCCCAGGGGTAGATAAATAGACCCTCCACGTGAAGGAGCAGTCTATCGCCAGGATTCCAAAAAGCTGGAGATTAACAACAGGTAAGGGCAGATGACTGGAGCTGCGGTGGCTCCAGTGGTTAAGACGCTGAACTGCAGGCTGTGGAAGGTCAGTAGTTCAGCAGTTCGAGACCCGAGTGTGCCGCATGACGGAGTGAGCTCCCGTCTCTAGTTCCAGCTCCTGCCAACCTAGCAGTTCAAAAGCAAGAAATGGCAAGTAGATAAATAGGTACCGCTTCGGTGGGAAGGTAACAGCGTTCCGTGCGCCTTGGTGTGTAGTCATGCCGGCCACGTGACCACGGAAACGTCTTCGGACAGCGCTGGCTCTTCGCCTTTGAAACGGAGATGAGCACCGCAACCCTAGAGTCGGAATCAACTGGCTTTCGAGCAAGGGAACCTTTACCTTTAAGGGCAGTAGTCTTCTTTTCAAAACCTCCAGTCCCACCTTTTTTTGTAATTTATTTTTTATTTATTTTTCAGAATATTTACAAACTATAGTGTATCAGAAAGTAACATTGTAGAGATAATATAACAGTAGGTGACATTTGTAAGATCAGACCCTAACCCCACTCTAGGGAGCTAATAAAAGGTATGCATAGTGTATAGTAATCTAAATAAGTCGGGTGATGTTTAAGTTATAGTAGTGTGCAGATAAAAATGTGCTGTGCTGACTATGGTGTAAGTATACTGGACATTAAGTGATCTCGGATGATGCTGTCCCCTTATTTGATAGAGAGTTAACCATTTGTGATAAGAACATAAGAGAAGCCAATGTTGGATCAGGCCAATGGCCCATCCAGTCCAACACTCTGTCACACAGTGGCCAAAAACAGCAGGGGCCATCAGGAGGTCCAGCAGTGGGGCCAGGGCACTAGAAGCCCTCCCACTCTTGCCCCCCCTCCAAGCACCAAGAATACAGAGCATCCCTTGCCCCAGACTGAGAGTTCCTATCTATACCTTGTGGCTAATAGCCCCTGACGGACCTCTGCTCCATATGTTTATCCATAAGAACATAAGAGAAGCCAATGTTGGATCAGGCCAATGGCCCATCCAGTCCAATACTCTGTCACACAGTGGCCAAAAATACCAGGTGCCATCAGGAGGTCCAGCGGTGGGGCCAGGACACTAGAAGCCCTCCCACTGTTGCCCCCCCCCCAAGCACCAAGAATACAGTGCATCACTTGCCCCAGACCGAGAGTTCCTACCTATACCTTGTGGCTAATAGCCACTGATGGACTTCTGCTCCAGATGTTTATCTAATTCCCTCTTGAAGCTGTCCATGCTTGAAGCCGCCACCACCTCCTGTGGCAGTGAATTCCATGTGTTAATCACTCTTTGGGTGAAGAAGCACTTCCTTTTATCCGTTCTAACCCGACCACTCAGCAATTTCATGGAGTGCCCACGAGTTCTTGTATTGTGAGAAAAGGAGAAAAGTACTTCTTTCTCGACCTGCTCTATCGCATGCATAATCTTGTAAACCTCGGTCATGTTTCTCCAAGCTAAAGAACCCCAAGCGTTTTAACCTTTCTTCATAGGGAAATGTTGTGGTTCATAGGAAGTAAGTCATGTGTTGACATAAAGGTTAGAACTGGGGTCCGTGTTAGCACAAGTTTGGAATAAATTGTTGATCCAGCACGGCTCTCCTTTAAGTACCTTATCCGCCATCAGAAGGGGCAAAGGCTTGGGCTGGCTGAAGATTCTCCTTGCTGCCCAGATGGGGATGAGAAGATAAGGGAAGTTGAGGAAGTAGGCCAGCCGGATCTCAGACCCATATTTCCCTATGGAGAGAACACACAAACATGCATCTCTTTCTCTCTCCTCCTCCACCATGTGCAGACGTAGCAGGCACTCCTTTGCATATTAGGCGACACACCCCTAATGTAGCCAATCCTCCGAGAGCTTACAGAGCTCTTCTTACAGGGGCTACTGTAAGCTCTTGGAGGATTGGCTACATTAGGGCTGTGTCACCTAATATGCAAAGGAGTTCCTGCTACAAAAAGAGCCCTCCAAATGGGAGAGAAGGGAGACAGTTTAGTTTTAATTTGGCTGGCTGGCTGGCTTCTGCAGTCTGCAATGCTTTCGTTTCCCTGAGTTGCTTGTTACTAATCAGAGCCAGTTACTAGTCAGAATCAGGCACTTTTCGGCATAGGAGTTCCCAGTTTGTTTTATGCCATCAATGCAAAGAAGAAGAAGAAGATGAAGAAGAGTTGGATTTATACCCCGCTCTTCACTCAGAATGACTTACAATCTCCTTTCCCTTCCTCTCCCCACAGCAGACACCCTGTGAGGTAGGTGGGGCTGAGAGACCTCTTTTGAGGACTGCCCGTGAGAGAACAGCTCGGAGAGAGCTTGTGACTGACCCAAGGTCGCCCAGCTGGCTGCACGTGGAGGAATGGGGACTCGAACCCAATTCTCCAGATTAGAGTCCGCCGCTCTTAACCACTACACCAGAACAGAAACACCCAGTTGAAAACGACGCACATTTAACAAGGATAATTCACACTGAACTATCCTCGTTAAATGTGCATCATTTTCAACCAGGTGTGAATTCACACACAGGAGACCCAAGCCGAGCCACAAATTATATTTTACTTGCAACAACCCCGGGGGACTTCCCAGCTATGCAACAGCTGCAAGTATCATGGCAACTCCATTTAGATGTAATGATGGGCCCCCCCCCCCATTTCTGGGCAGGACCATGACACAGGGTGAGGAGAGCCTCACACCTTTTCCCCCTCACACTATTTTCATGACCCAAAGCAGCCCCAGGGGAGCATAATTTACCCCATCCTCCTGCTGTGCTGGGCGGGTCCTGACCAGCATCATATCTCTGCAGTGTTTTGAGTTTCCACACGGAACTTAAAATCTTTCTTCCACCATCTTGGGAAGTCCATTGTTTTATTTGCTGATATAGGCATTTTAACGTTGGTTTTAGGGAAAGGCGGACTAATAAATCTAATTTAATAAAATAATAAATAAGTAAACAGTGGGCATCAACTACCAGTCCTCCCTTCGGCCATCATTTGTAGTTTTGGCTAAAGCTGGCCAATCAAACAAAACCAAGCCACAAAATTCAGCCACATCTGCCTTTGAACTGCCACCGTTCCCTGTCCAAACGTTTAGTGTCTGTCATTAATGTTTCAGAATTCGGGTCTTTAAAATCTGATTGTTTAATCTTGCCCCGAGCGACCCTCTGTGCCGTGCTACCAATGGGAACGGGAGAGACCGAGGCTTTCTTTCAAACTTCAGATGGAAAGAAAGAACTGTACAACTATTCTGACACACTCCTCTCCATGTCTTTCTGTCACGGCATCCAAAGCATAGAACGGGCACAAAGCTTCTCACCAACAATGTTGCCCGGCAAGAAAACCAGAAGACTCATCGTGAGGGACCCAATCCAGTACAGGCCAAAACTCCGGTAACTCTTTCTGAAAAAGAATAAGAGAATCTTTATCGTTAGAACCCCCATGGACGTCGGCTGCCCTGTCTTTCAAACGGGGATGCTGGGCTTTCTTTGTGCCATAGATAGATAGATAGATAGATAGATAGATAGATAGATAGATAGATAGATAGACAGACAGACAGACAGACAGACAGACAGACAGACAGACAGACAGACAGACAGATGATAGACAGGCAGATAGACAGATAGATGATAGCCAATAGATGATAGATAGATGATAGATAGACAGACAGACAGACAGATAGATGATAGATAGACATAGACAGATAGATAGATGACAGACATTCCAACACTCTGTCACACAGTGGCCAGAAACACCAGGGGCCATCAGGAGGTCCAGCAGTGGGGCCAGGACACCAGAACCCCTCCCACTGCAGCCCCTCTCAAGCACCAAGAATAGAGAGCATCCCTTGCCCCAGACATAAGAACATAAGAGAAGCCAATGCTGGGTAGATAGATACATAGATAGACAGACAGACAGACAGACAGACAGAAAGACAGGCAGACAGACAGATGATAGACAGGCAGATAGATAGCTGATAGACAATAGATGATGGATAGATGATAGACAGACAGACAGATAGATGATAGACAGACATAGACGGATAGATAGATGACAGTCATAGACAGACAGACAGACAGATAGATGATAGATAGACAGACAGACAGATGATAGACAGATAGACATTTATTTATTTGTTCGACTTTTATCCCGCCCTTCCGCCGAAGCGGCTCAGAGCGGCTCACAGCATTAATAAAACCAACATTGATAAAACATCAGTCCATAAAACAACTTTACATAAATACAATAAATATACCGTAAGTAAAAGCGGTTTGGTAAATCATTACAACTAGACAGACAGATAGATAGATGATAGATAGACAGACAGACAATAGATGATAGATAGACAGACAGATAATAGATCGACAGACAGACAGACAGATAGATGATAGACAATAGATAGATGATAGTCAGACAGACAGATAGACAGACAGGTAGGTAGGTAGGTAGGTAGGGTCGGATCCACTGTACTTGCACATTTCTGCTAGCCTAAGGTCCTTTCCCCAATGCAGTCTAGTTTCATTAGATATAACTGCTGACCTTCAGCAGAAACTTTGGTAATCAATATTATTCCAGTATGAATGATCATGCCCTGACCTGGCTAACCCTGGCTAGCCTGATTGGGTCAGGTCTTGTAAGCTAAGCAGGGTCAGCCCTCGTCAGTATTTGGAAGGGAGACCACCAAGGAAGTCCAGGGTTGCTACGCAGAGGCAGGCAAGGGAAAAACCACCTCTGAACGCCTCTTGCCTTGGAAAACCCTCTGGGGTCTCCATAAATCTGCTGGGACTTGACAAGCATTATTTCCCACCAACACCAGTTTAACGGGACGCCGTTTTTTAAAATTAAATTAACAGAAATTTAAAAAAATTACCCTGCCCTTCCTTTCTCTACGAAAACAAACTTCACCCTTCGCTTCAGAGCTGCTTTGCTGGATTGGACCAGAAGGTTCCGACATTGACCAGCAAGACCAGCTCCCTACCCGTGCTATTCATCGCCAGCATTCGGTATATGAAGGTATACTATCTCCACACATGGAGGTTCCACCTAAACTGCCGTGGCTAACACCTGCAGAGAGATCTATCCTTCTTGAGTTACTCATCTGTTTGTTTGTTTTTAAACCTAGTGGCCATGGCTCTCTCTTTTGGCAGCGAGTTCTACAACCTAACCATACCTTTTCTGTCAAGCGGTGCTTCCTGAAGTAAAAGTAAAGGTAAAGGCTCCCTTGCTCGAAAGCCAGTCGAGTCCGACTCTAGGGTTGCGGTGCTCATCTCCGTTTCAAAGCCGAAGAGCCAGCGCTGCCCGAAGACGTTTCCGTGGTCATGTGGCTGGCATGACTAAACACCAAGGCGCACAGAACGCTGTTACCTTCCCACCGAAGTGGTACCTATTGATCTACTTGCAATTTCTTGCTTTCGAACGGCTAGGTTGGCAGGAGCTGGAACTAGAGACGGGAGCTCACTCCGTCACGCGGCACACTCGGGTCTCGAACTGCTGAACTACCGACCTTCCACAGCCTGCAGTTCAGCGTCTTAACCACTTGAGCCACCGCAGCAGGTGCTTCCTGAACCGATGACCAAAATCATCTCCCATGAAGGCTCAGCTCCAAACTCTCCCTGTTTGAGCTGCCGACAGCTGCAATCCAGCCAGTGCAATGCCCCCCCGCACTGTACCTTCTTCTCCCAGCTGCTCCCCTTGAACTTCTGCCTGTCCCACGCCTTCCCTGAACCCCTCGCCATGGCAAACCCCCTGCACTTTACAGTCATCCCCCACTTACCGTTGAGACATGGCTGTAATCATCGCGAGGTAGAGACCGTAGTGGACCACGCCGTCCCAGTAACAGATCATAATGCCGTAGGCCGTGCGGAGGTAGGGCTCACCCTGGCAAGAGAAGCATCAGAGAGAGGTGAGTCCCGGTTCTGCTCCGGCTGCCCTGGAAATGGAACAGAACCGATATCACACACCGTTTAGGCTACATCCCCTCACAAGAGATTCTTTTGGTCCGTCGTAGCTGTGCCTGGAACAGGGCGACGTTCGGATTCTTCGGAGGAACCTGACTGCTTCTTTGGAGTTCAGAGGTCAGGTCCGGGAACCGGATCGACACTTTTGTCTGATGCCGTGTGTACACTTGAGTGGGGAGAGGAGCCATCCCGTCTGTATTTCGACACCAGTTTGGTGTCGTGGTTAGGAGCGCCGACTCTAATCTGGGAGAACCGGGCTTTATTCCCCACTCCTACGTGTGCGGCCAGCTGGGTGACCTTGGGTCAGTCACAAGTTCTCGCCGAGCTGTTCTCTCAAGGGCAGTTCTCGAGAGAGCTCTCTCAGCCCCACCTACCTCACAGGGTGTCTGTTGTGGGGAGGGGAAGGGAAAGGAGATTGTAAGCTACTCTGAGACTCCCTTGGGTAGTGAAGGGCGGGGTAGAAATCCAATCTCTTCTCGTCCTCTGTCGCCTTTCCTTCCTGTGCATTTTACCTGCCATGTGACGGGAAGAAGTGCTGGAATATGCAAGGTCTATAGTGCAGCCTTATGAAGAAGATCTGAGAATCACCCTACAGGGGGAACAGCTGAAGGACTGGGAGTTAGCATAGCTAGACTAGGGACTGCCCACTTCTTCAAATTGTGTCCTTGCTGTCTCCTGATTGGCTCTTCTGGAGACTTCCTGCTCCTGTAGAGCTTCCTGTTGGCTCTTTGTTCCTCTCATGGCAGTTAGACTGGTTAGTTTGGGCTTTCCCTCTGTATGTTCTATAACAGTTTGTTCTTCTATAACGAACCTACTAATTTTTCTGTAAACAGTCGGAGCTCCGCTTCCTTTGCATATTCAAACTCTGCTAACAAGAAGTCCCCACCTAAATGTCCCAGGCTCAATCCTGGAATCTCTGGTTAAAAGGAGGAAGGAGGAGGAGAAGGAGAAGAAGGAGAAGAAAGCTGAAGGTGGAGGAGAAGGAGAAGAAGAGGAGGAGGAGATTGGATTTATACCCCGCCCTTCACTACCCGAAGGAGAGTGGCTTACAATCTCCTTTCCCTTCCCCTCCCCACAACAGATGCCCCGGGAGGTAGGTGAGGCTGAGAGAGCTCTTTCAAGAACTGCTCCTGAGAGAACAGCTCTGAGAGAATTTGTGACTGACCCAAGGTCACCCAGCTGGAGGAATGGGGAATCAAACCCGGTTCTCCCAGATTAGTCTCCACACTCCTAACTACTACACCAAACTGGAGATGAGGAAGACCTCAGCCTGAGCCCCGAGAGAGCCGCTGACAGTCAAGAGTAGACAAGACTGACCTTGATGGCGCAACCAATGGTCTGATTCACACATGCTGAATAACAACACTTCAGCGATTGTTTGGAAGTGGATTTTCCCATTCCGTACAGTAAAATCCAGTTGCACAGGGCAGTGAAAGTGGATTGAGGGCATTGTTCATGTGTGTGCGCCCATTGATTCCAGGTCTAAAAGGATCAGGAAAGAGGGGTCTCTCGGCCGACCCAAATGAGCATCGTGGTGGGGAGGCGGCCAAGGAAGATGCGCTCAGCCTCCTCCACTGTCCCCCCACCCCCAGCACTTCTCCCTTTGGAAAACAGCCCGTGTCTCCGGTCCAGAGGGGCCCCTTTCCCAGAAGTGGTGGCCCTGGACAACAGCCCGACTGTGTCAAGTCCTGCAGCCGCCTATTTTCAATCTCAGAGCCCGAGGATCGGGAGCCAAACTGTGCAGCCAGTCTGGGGCAACGCTCCCTCTAAGCCGTGGAGTCTTGTGAGAAAAAACTCTACTTTGTGAGCCACTGGCACTAAAGTTGTGAGCGAGCGATTTGGCTGCTGGATAAATTAGTTTGCTCTGGAGCCAACCTTCCTGAGCCAGGACAAAAAAGTGTGAGCCAGAGGCTAAGAAATTGTGAGCTAGCTCACACTAACTCAGCTTAGAGGGAACACTGGTCTGGGGTAAGCTTGAATCTGGGGCCACCCCTAGAGATGTGAAGGCCCGGAAAAAAACCGGAAAAATTCGGGAAAAAACAGGTTTTTTCTGGTCCGGTACCTCTTTCATGTAGAACTCCATGAATCCGCCGATATAGCCATCTTCTTCCAGCGCAATTATTGCATCGATCACAGATGTGAAGGAAAAGACCATAAACACTAGAAGAGAAAGATTATGGGGACAGGTCTCAGGTTAGAATCTATGGGGACAGGTCTCAGTGGTATTGTCCTTGCTTGTTCTTTGAAGTATTTTTTCCTTCAGGACTGGATAAGTAGAAATTCCATCTATGAGGGAGCCTTATTGTGAAACGGAAAATCTGTGCAAGTCCCGATAGATGATTTATTGGGTTTCTGAATATATCACACAGTGAATACGTTTTCTGGATCCCTTTGAAGAAATATTGACGAATATCTGGGCACTTGAAATTTGGTATGTATTGGCAGCTTTCTTACTCCAAGGGACGACATCCACCACAGAGATATATAAGACTGTGCTTTTCACTGGACATTCCATCATATTAATGATGTATTGGTAATTGTATGCGTCTTTTGCACCTTGTTGGTTTGTAAGCATTCATTGTAAAAAACATATAAAGCAGGGGTGGCCAAACTTGCTTCATGTAAGAGCCACATAGACTAAGGCTGTGGTCACACGGAAAGCATACCGCGATTTGTTCCTGCTGTAGATTTGATCGGGGATATTTTTAAGCGTGTACTGCAGAGCAGTGCCGTCGGGGTGGGCTGATTAGCCATCTGGGACATCTCAGCCTATGGCACCCCCCCCCTTTCTTCTGACCTCACTGTGATATATAATAATGAGTGAGTATTTTAATTACCGATGCATCCTGTAGGATTGAATTGCGTTTTAAGTGGTTAATTCTGTAATTTTATCGCACTTTGGGTGCCTAAATTGTTTTAATCGTGTTATATTTTATTGTACTACTGTGCCTATGTAAGCCACCCTGAGCCCGCATGCGGGGAGGGAGGGGTATAAAAAATAATAATAAATAAGCGGGTTCAGATGATCACACATCCCTTGCCCAACCGCTTGCTTTGCGTGACAATGCTCCGGGCACTGCCCAAGTGGCAACACAGCACATTTTTTTTAAAAAATCTTTGCGCATGTGCATATGCGCATGCACAGATGTGCACATATGCACATGCGCACAATGGTGGGAGTCGCAAAAACAAAAAACAACCTACCGGAAGAAGGATGTTCACACAACCTAATTGCAATCATTGCGAGAGATGGCTGTCCAGATAGGCAAAATCGCAGATTCACAGCGCAAGTACCCAGAAAGTAGTTGATTTTCCTGGTGTCGGAAAACTCGCTAGGGAACCGGGAGGATCGTGCGAGTGAGCCCACTTCGGTGCGGGAGACGGATGTGGGCGTCTGATCAGCAATTTTAAATGAGAGAGGGAACAGCGGTGAAACCCGATCAAAATGACCGTGTGACCACAGCCTTCATGTCAGATGCTCAAGAGTTGCAAGGTGACTTCGGAGGAAGAGGCGGGTTTGGGGGAGTCTTGTATTTTGCAATAAGAATACTCGATATTTTTATCGTGGGGTTTGTAAGTTTCGACATGTTGAGACACGTGCCAGAGGGGATTTGGGTGGCCCGTATGGGAAACAGGAAGGGTCAGTAGACAGACCTTTGGTATGATCCAGCAGGAGGAAGAGGGGAGTCAACATACCATAGAAGAGAGGATCCTGGGACTGACTGGGAAGGTAGACCAGAGCGAACAAGCCTACAAGGACCACGGCACCCACCAAGGCCACGGACCAGGAGCTAGAGGGAGAGAAAAAGGCACTGGATTGAGGCCCTCTGATACTGAAGTCAAATCTTTGTAGCCCCAAGAAGACTCATGCATGGGTCCCTCCAGGGGTCATTTCGTAGAAAAAGTGCAGGAGCTCATTAGAATAACTCATTAGCATAACTCATTTGCATATGCCACACCCCCTGACGTCACCAGAAGTGTATCAGAAGGCAACACCCACTACTCAGGCTCCGCTGGACTGTTTTGGATTGCTAGCTACAGGGGGCGGGGGGGAACGTGCAGATCTGTCCTCACAGAGGAGGGAGAGCTTGTACCTGAATAAAACTTGGTCTTAAAGGTGGGATTGTCCTTTGGTAAAAAAAAAGTTCAGGGATCAGATTGGTATAGAAGTGTCGGGGATCGTGGGAAGAAGGGTAAGAATATCTAAAGCAATGGCACTTATTAGTCTGGATGGTATAGGGTTAAGGTTAAAAGAGGAATGTAAATGGATTGATTTGATGCTAGTAGCAGCAAGACAAGTGATAGCAAGGAATTGGAAAGAAGCCGAGGAACTCACGATTAATCACTGGAGGGATAAAATGAATAATATAATAATCTTAAGAGTATCTTACGATGAAGATACGTAGAATAAATGGGTTAAAGGTTAGTGAACAGGAGGAGGACTGGTTCAGAAGGATGGCGGGGTATTTGGGAAAGTTTTAACAATTTGGGATGATTAGTCAGTTAAATAGGAAATTGAGAGGTTAATTTGATTATAAGATTAAGATGGAAGTTTAATAGAGCAATAGAGTTGTACTTGGATTGATTGTGATATAATACTGTATGGAATGTTATTTATGTATCTATTGCCTGGAGGTCGCACATGGATGGTGTTGGTGATGGAATGTTTTATGAAATTAAACAATAAAGAATTATTTTTTAAAAAAATTAAAGGTGCCACTGGACTGTTTTGGACTTGGGGGGGGGGGGAGCTCTGCAACTTTCCTGGCTGCTTCTTGCTCTGACTGAGGGCTGCTGGGAGCAGGGGGTGGGGCTTGTTGCATGTGCCCGCCCCCTCGGCTCTTTACTGCCGGAGCTCCGCTCCTGCGCGCTCCTGCAGGAAATGACCCCTGGGTCCCATGCAAGCCACTGAAACAATCCAAAATTTATTTATCCCTTTACTTTATATCTTTCTCCCCCCTGGGAACCCAGAACGGCTGACATCGCTCTCCTCTCCTTCATTCTGTCCTCACAACAACCCCGTGAGGTAGGTTTGGCTGAGAGGATGTGACTGGCCCAAAGTCACCCAGCGGGCTTCCGTGGCACGAGTGGGGATCAGAACCTGGGTCTCCCAGATCCCAGTCCGACACCAAGGCAGTGAGCAGCTCATCCAATCAGAGCCGGGAAGCTGGTCCAAAAAGAAGGGCAGGGAAAACGAGGGAAAGGTTGATGTGCCGCTTCGTAAACGGAGATGAGCACCGCAACCCTAGAGTCGGATTCGACTGGCTTTCGAGCAAGGGAACCTTTACGTTTACCATTAGGTGGCGAGCTAGACTTGTTTTTAAGGCAAGAGAGGTTTAATTATTTTATGGCATTGTGTGTAGAATAGCCAGGAGATCCTAAGATTGTCCGGCAGCCACAAGTTCTAGCTCTTTTAGCATTATGCATCACTAGGTGGAGAGCTAGACTTGTTTTTATGGCAAGAGATCCTTCAGAGGTGGTTTGCCATTGCCTGCCTCTGTGTAGCAGCAGCCCTGGAATTCCTTGGTGGTCTCCCATCCAAGTACATTAAGTATTGTGTGGTCTTGTGTGTAGAATAGTCAGGAGATCCTAAGATTGTCTGGCAGGCAGAAGTTCTAGCTCTTTTAGCATTCTGCACCACTAGGTGACGAGGTAGACTTGTCTTTAAGGCAAGAGACGTTTCAGAGGTGGTTTGTTGCTGACTGCCTCAGTGTCATGGCCCTGGTATTTCTTGGAGGTGGCTCTTCCAATTCCTAGCCATGGCCAACCCTGCTTAGCTTCTGAGATCTGGCGAGATTGGGCTAGCCTGGGCTATCCAGGTCAGGATCCCTGGTCCACATGTTTGATATCGAGGCAGGCAGCAAAAGCTTCCAGAATCAGAAACGTTCTCTGCATAGGGCAAACAGGTCAAACCCTACACCAAAGGATAAATGGACACAAATCTGATCTCAAGAATCACAAAAGTAAGAAACCTCTAGGAGAAGATTTGAGCCTCCCAGGACACTCAGTGGGGGACCTCAAAGTAGCTGTTTTACTGCAGGAGTTTCAGAAACAGGCTGGAATGGGAGACTGCTGAATTACAAGTTACTACAACGGGACAATGGAACCCCCAGGGCTTAACAGAGATACTGGGTTCTTATCTCAGGACACATGCAAAGTCACTCCGTTCTCGCATCTGTTTAACTCTTTTATGATCTGTATGCTGTTTTGCTGCCATTCACAGGTCTTACCAACTGCTTTAATCCAACCTGAGCTATACTCATCACTCAGTTCCTTATGCATATTGACTCTAATTAGCCCTTCCCGGCATCTAACCCCCCACCTATATGTGATGGTCGGCGAAGTCTGTTTCAATGTATCCGAAGAAGTGTGTGTACACACGAAAGCTTATACCCAGAATTAAACTCCGTTGGTCTTAAGAGGCGCCACTGGACTCAAATTTCGTTCTGAAACTAGAAACGTTTTGGAAAAGCAGATGAGATTCAGGTGCAACCCCCCCCACACACACACACACTGAATGACCTGAGCAGGACTGCAGAAATCCTTGCGCCTGCAGATTCATCTATGCCAAAGCGAGGGGGCCCAGGCTTGCATTCTGCGCCATCTGGACGGGGGTGCGGCTCAGCCAGCGAGCTGGCAAGCCTGCTGCGGCTGCAAGTTTTGCCCACCACCAGCTGCTGCTGCTGCGGAACAACTGCAATGCAGACCCTGGCTGCAAAGGACGCTTGCAGCAATCCCGAGCGATACCTTTACCTCGGGAAGGAAAGTGCCTTCTAGTATCTGCAGAGCCATACCGCCTCTTTTTTGGGCTCGGTGGCGATCCGCAGAGACAGCCGAGCACAGGCGACCTCTCCTGCGAAGAGGGAGGGGGCTCGGACAAGGCTGCTCACGGAATCAGGAGCTGTCTAATTGGTGCTCTGTGCCAGTGGGGACCCCCCCAAAGAGAGAGAGAGAGAGAGAGAGAGAGAGAGAGAGAGAGAGAAAGAAAGAGAGAAAGAAAGAGAGAAAGAGAGAAAGAAAGAGAGAAAGAAAGAGAGAAAGAAAGAGAGAAAGAAAGAGAGAAAGAAAGAGAGAAAGAGAGAAAGAAAGAGAGAAAGAAAGAGAGAAAGAGAGAGAAAGAGAGAGAAAGAGAGAGAAAGAGAGAGAAAGAGAGAGAAAGAGAGAGAAAGAGAGAGAGAAAGAGAGAGAGAAAGAGAGAGAGAAAGAGAGAAAGAGAGAGAGAAAGAGAGAGAGAAAGAGAGAAAGAGAGAGAGAGAGAGAGAGAGAGAAAGAGAGAGAGAGAGAGAGAAAGAAAGAGAGAAAGAAAGAGAGAAAGAGAGAAAGAAAGAGAGAAAGAAAGAGAGAAAGAAAGAGAGAAAGAAAGAGAGAAAGAAAGAGAGAAAGAAAGAGAGAAAGAAAGAGAGAGAAAGAGAGAAAGAAAGAAAGAAAGAAAGAAAGAAAGAAAGAAAGAAAGAAAGAAAGAAAGAAAGAAAGAAAGAAAGAAAGAAAGAAAGAGCTGGGTGCCTAACAGCCTATGGAGGATGAACTCTTGCTTTGGCTATCTGGTTTCATTGTGTTTCCTGAATTCCTAAGAACCGGTGGAGCCGGGCTGTGGGGAAGCTGTGCTACAAAACAGGGAAGGTCACCTTCTCATCTCTGGCCAGAAGCAAAAGGTATCCTCAGCCCTGGCGACAGGAAAGCAGAGCGCAGCTCAGTCTGATGGGGCGGCTGGAAATAAAAAGAGACCACCCGCAGAAAGAGCTTTGGACGCCCCAAAGCTCTAAATGAACACACTTTTTTAAAAATTCAGGCTTTCCCCAATATCATGGCCGTGGGAATGAATAGGCAGCAAACCCTACTAGGACATTTGTGGCCTCCCCTTCCCCTCCAAAGGTCTCGGTCATCGGCAGCGGACCATGCATATCATCTCGTTTCGTGTACAACTTTGTCAAAGCGAATAGCGTCGAAATACAAGATGAATCCATTTAACAAACTCACTGTTAGCATTTCATAGTGACAGTCTTCAGAATCCATCAGTTTGCTACCAGTGAGTTTGTTAAACGGATTAATCAGCACATTAGCATAATAGGCCACACCCAACAGCAAAACTCATTAGCATATTAGGTCACACCCTGACAGCACCGCTCATTAGCACATTAGGCCACACCCCCATGTTACCAGAAGTGTGGTCATCCAGCCACACCCACCTTTTGCTTCTTCTTCTGTTTACCTTGTTTGTTGTCAAAACCCAGGGCTTTTTTTGTAGCAGGAACTCCTTTGCATGTTAGGCCACACACCCCTAATGTAGCCAATCCTAATGAGTGTCTTCTGTTGGGTGTGGCCTGTTATGCTAATCAGTTCCTGCTGGGCGTGGCCAACTCAGGAGCCAGGCGGAACTCCGTTCCTGTGCGTTCCTGCCCAAAAATAGCCCTCTTGTATTTCGACAGTATTCACTTTGACAAAGTTGTACACGAAGCGAGACGATCTGCATGGTCCGTTGGTGTCGGTGGCGTTTGAATCGCGCCCAGTAAACTGAATACTGGAAAAAGAAATTTCTCGTGTTTGGAGACTTTTGTGGCATAATATATCACAGTTCTTTGTTTCCTTTTCCTCAACCTCCAGACGGGGGCTGGAGATCTCCCGGAGTGACGACTGATCTCTAGACTTACTTATTCGTCCCACGTCTGGAGAAATGGGCTGCTTTGGAAGCAGGACTGCGTGGCATTATGCCCTGCCCTATGGCATGCCAACCCACGGTTCGGAAATACCTGGTGATTGGGGGGCGGAGCCTGGGAGGGTGGGGTTGAGGGAG